TGTGTGTGTGTGTGTGTGTGTGTGTGTGTGTGTGTTGTACTGGGGATTAACCCAAGGGTGCTCCATTACGGAACTGTATCATTTGCTCTTATTGTTACGTTTTCTTACTTTCTTTTTTTTTTTTTTTCTTTGCGGAACCAGGGATTGAACTCAGGCCCTTGCACTTGCCAGGGAAGCGCTTATTCCTCTGAGCCATCTCCCAAGCCCTTGTTACTTTTTCTTAAAAAAAAAAAAATTGTTACTTTAAAAATTCTGAGACAGTCATGGTAAATTGTTCAGTCTGGCCTGGAGTTTGTAGTCTCCCTGCCTCCACCTCCTGAGTAGCTGGGATTTCAGGTGTGTGCCACCACACCTGGCTTGACTTTGAAATTTTATCATACAATTTATTTTTTCCTAAAATACCATATACATTCTATTCTAAAACCTTTTTTTTTTTTTCACAGTAAAATGTGGAGGGACATGTGACTAGAAACAAGAATGTTTTGCACCCTTAACAGCTGCCGTCTTCTGACTGTACAATACATGACATACCACTGAGGCCCTTCCATGGGGGGCTGAGTCCAGAGCCCCTGGCTACATCCCTGGTGCTTTTTCTTTTTTTGTAGAACTGGGGATTAAACTCAGGACCCCGCACTTGCCAGGCAAGCGCTTATTCTACTGAGCTATCTCCCCAGGCCCTTAGTTTTTATTTTGAGACAAAGTCTAAAGGAAGCACTAAATTGCCCTGGCTGGGCTCAAACGCTCAATCTTCCTGCCTCAGCCACCCACAGTGCTGCGATTACAGGCATGACTTATTGATCTCCTACACCTGGCTTATTGATCGCCTCTTGATGGGTATCTGGGTTGTTTCCAAAGTTTTGCCCTTGACAGAAATTATTACTTTCCTTTGGAACTCAATTCAGTGAAGTGTTTTACAGCTTTTAAATGTTGATACCTAGTAATCAACCTTCTAGGAATCTAGCCTTAGGAAGTAATCCTGGAGAAAGAAAAGTAATACATCTTTATATACAGAGATGTTCAATGCCAGGTTATTTATTCATAATACTAAAAAACTGACAACTATTTAAATGTTCAACAATAGGAACATGGTTAAGTAAACCATAATACTAAATCTGTTCTTTGATACTCACGCAATCATTAAAAATGTTTATATAGACTATAAAATAATTGTCACACAAATGCATCTTATTTAAAGAGGAAGAGCAGGATGTTGTTACTAGTATGTTCACAGTGTGACAACCTAACTAACAAAAGAACGAATGTATATTAAAAAGAATGAACAAGATTTGGCCAGATATGGTGGCATGTGCCTGTAATCCAGCTACTGGGGAGGCGAAGGCAGAATCAAGGGTTCAAGGCTAGCGTGGGAAACAGCAGGAACAAGTCTCAAAATTTAAAAATAAAAAGGCTGACATAGATCAGGAGGAGAACATTTGTACTGTCAGGCCCTTGGTTCAGTCTGCGGTACCACACCAAAGAGAAAAAAGAAAGAACGAAAAGACGAAAGAAAGAAAGAATGAAAGAAAGAAGAAAAAGAAAAAAGGAAGGAAGCTGGCTGGGTATGGCGCCATGTATCTACAATCATAACACTCGGGAGGCTGAGCAGAAGGATCAGGATCTCAGGAGCGCTACAAGTTCAAGGCTCGCCTGAACTACATTAGGAGACTGTCTTAAAAAAAAAAAAAAAAAAAGATTTGGAGAAACACAGGAAGTTAAGCCAGGATGAGAACCATGCAGCACTATAAGCGGAACAGTAGCGTGAGTGCCGCAGGTAAAGGCCCGGGCCCATCTCTCTGCGGCAGTGTATGAGGTGCCAGAGCCCAGCGTGGCCGAGCACAACTGGGGGAACTATTACCACGCACGGCGCTGCAGCACAGGGATATATATATATATAT